CTTGGAGGCCTTTTCGGTCTGCATTAAGCACCCAAGATCTTCTTGTACAAGCACGCCAAGATCGCACTCATGAGAGGTCCGCTGTAGAATGTCAGGTCCTAAGCGGTAGTTATACGCACTCTGATGGCGTATGCTCAAGATTTTGCACTTTGTTGTGTTGAACTTTAGCGTGTTCTCGTTTGACCACTTGTATGCTTTGTCCAAATCATCCTGCAAGGCTGCGTGATCCTCTCCTGAAGCTATGGCACGCCATATCTTTAGGTCATCTGCAAACAGCAGAAAGTTGGAAGATAGTGCAGCTGCAAGATCATTTATGAAAACAATGAACAAGCGAGGCCCGAGTATCGAGCCCTGAGGTACGCCACACTGAACTTCGATTGGTTCCGACAGGGTATTTCGGACTCTCACATTCAGGTGACGTTGAACGAGAAATTCGCCTATCCATCCTAGAATAGGATTGCCGATACCACAATGCTGCAGCTTGTTCAGTAAAATCCGATGGTCCAGTCGGTCGAATGCCTTAGAGAAGTCCAAGTAGGCTACATCCACTCCAACTTCGGCGTCCACAGACTCTGCCCAGTTTGAACGAGCTATCAGCAAATTAGATGTGCAGGACCTGCCTTGGCGAAATCCGTGCTGCTCCGGAACGAGGATGTTGTTTTTCTCCAGGTACTCCATGAGGGCCTCGGCTACAATGGACTCCATGATCTTGGAGATTACCGGAAGAAGGGTAATCGGACGATAATTAGTTGGATCTGCACGGCTACCATTTTTGTGGATTGGAGTGATGATCCCGTGCTTCCACATCGTAGGGACGTGCATCTCGTTAAGGCATCGCTGAAAGAGTGTCGCCAAAGGTTCAGCTAAGCTCGCGGCGGAAACTTTCAGCGCTTTCGGCCGAATGCCGTCCGCACCCGGGGAGCTAAATTCGCGCAACGACATCAACCGCTTCAATACAGCTGCAGTTGTGAAGGAAATGTGGTTAAGGCCTGATGGCGGAATAAGTTGCCTAGATATGGTGCAGGATGTTTGCACACACTGGAAAGTGCGGCCGAAGTGTTGTCCTAGGACGTTCGCCGCATCCTGTGCCGTATGTGCTAATCCGAAAGCTGTGCGTAGAGCCGGAATTCCGCGTTTAACGCGGCGAAGCTTATTTGTGTGTCTGTATAGTAGCTTTGGGTTAACGCAGAACTTTGACACAAGATCTTGTTGGCTCTTTACCTTATCCTCCCTGACGAGTGTGACACAGTGGTTTCTTTGTGTAATATAGGTGTTCCAAGTATCCTCGCTCGGAGAGGCTATATGGGCGCGCCATGCCAGATCCCTCAATCCCATGCATTTCCCGGTCCTGCTTCTGAGAAACAACTTCGCCTTGTCGGGTCGGGGGATTTTGGTTTTAGATGCCAATGCTACGAGCGTGTTGAATTTGTTGACAAATTTCCCGCATTCCACTTCTAGGGACCACTCAGTTAAGAAGGACCAGCTCGTAGCACTAATGAGTTCTGCCAGGTCATCGTAGTTGGTTACGACGTAAGATTCCACGTTGTTTTCATTAGGATAATCTGCATAACACAAGTATTGGAACAATAGTGTCGCATGATCGCTGCGGCTCAAGGGAGTGGATGTGGTTACTACGTCAATCATCAGTTCCTCATTGGTGAAAACGAGGTCCAAGATGGCCGGTTTGTTTCCTGTCCTGAATCGCGTTGGGGATGTGACATGGTTGTACAGCGGTGATCCTGCAATTAGCTCTTGTAGATCAGCTTTGAATGGTTCACTCATGGTGGCTGGGGTTTCTAGGCCGTGCAGATTGAAGTCCCCTACCAGCAAAACGTGACTGTATGATTGTTCCAGTAAATTCTTCAAAACAGAAGACAGGGCCTTGTCCATTTCTAAAGTGGACATTGGTGGACGATATACGATGGCCAATAAGCAATTATCGCCGTGCTTTAGGTGTAGGCAGCACCATAAGGAGTCTACGGTTTGAATCCCAGGGTCGTTCATGAGCTCGATGAGAAGGTCTGAACGGTAGTAGAGAATTACACCGCCGCCCTTGGTGGGTCGATCGTTACGCAGTAGTGACATGCCAGGTAGTTCGATCTCAGCGTCACTAATCATGTCGTTCAGCCACGTCTCAGTTATCATGATGAGGTCCCAACACATTGAGCTATGACGAGATCGAAGTTCTGCCAATATGCTTAGAAGCCCTTGGGCGTTTGTATAAGGGCAATTGAGAACTACGGATGTTAGAAGCGTGTTTGAACATACGTTGGTTTTCCGACCCTTGTTGGGTCGGCTGAGGGACATTTTTTTGATGTGTCTCTTGCAAACTTCCCGGGGCCGTTACGGTGGGAAGCCTACCGCGCCCTGAGTCGATCTGCAGCAGACTGTCTTTTCCTTCTTCATCGAACGGCTGGGGCGTCTCATTGTGTTCCGGTACAGAAATGCAGACAGCGGGGATCGCGACTACTTCTTGCTGGTTTCGTGTTCCCATATCCATTGGTGACCTGGTTCCAACCGCCTTCAGACGTATTTCTGATGGCAATTTGGTGCGGAACTTGTGCCAATTCCCGAGCACCGTTTCAACCATTTGTTTGGAGTAAAGCAAGACTAAGCACTCGTGGACCACTTCCTTTGTAGTTTGGCGATTTGGGTAACCTCGATGTTGAGCTGGCAATTACGTCGTGGAGAGATAGTGCTTCGCGGATATACCGCCCCTCTTCCAAGTCATGAGTTTTGACCTGCGACTCTTCCGGTGCCTGTGTTCATTTGGGTGTTGCCCGCCTGAAACCATTGCACTCCATGACGCGTTTCGAGGTTATTTCCTCTCATCAGATAGAGATAGCAGACATCGAACCCGGGACCATTGAGATGTTAGTTGTGACCGCCACACCTAAGCCACCGGGTCACAACGGGCAAAGCTTGGCACAACGGCAAATAACATATTGGAAAGTGAATTTGAAATACACGTTGTGTGGATGGATTGCGACGCGCAATCGTGATCGAATGGCCAAGGTTCACTTCAATGGGAATCGCGGTCTACTTTGAGATTGCGCGTCGCAATCCATCCACACAACGTGTACTTCAAATTCACTTTCCAATCTGCCTATGTTCATATTTGAAGTACCAACTGTTTTACTGACATTATTATCCTTATTGTTATGTTGAAATCCCCACCAGTTATACAACGGGACTTGTAAAGCAACTCTTATTAAACGTTATAAACCTTATAAATTTGTTGTTCATTGTTACTCATAAATTCATGGTCATAACTTCATATGAATGCATGAAGACGGCAGAAAATATCGCACGATGAGTGGGAGCATCAACACCTGTTTGTGATTTGACACGTCTGTGAATATTAACACCAATTACAATTTATATTGGTTTTCTTGAAGTTGGTCTCTGACAAATAGGAACAGGATAATAGTTATTACTTTATAACACTTTTGCAGGCATAAGCAATTTTCGGCACAAAGATTTTTCTACCAATTGCTGGTGCAATTTATGAGGCGGAAACTCTGATTATAAAATATAGCAGGATATGCGAACTCATCTTCTGTGGTTACTTGCTTGGTTTATGTGCTTCCAAACGTAGCTGCCTGGAAAGGATTTGTTGTAGGAGTTGAAGATTCTACCCTAGACACTGCTACCTTATGATAATCCAATTAAATGCTTTTACTATCTGACCACCGATAGGGAAATGCAGAAATTCCGATCTGCTTGTTCACATTGAACTTGTGAATGCTTGTCGCTTGTTAACTTCTTGATGGATGGAAATCGCTCTCCAATTAATTAGTCATGTTCACTTTCATTTGGACATGATTATCCTACTAAACTGTAAGTAAGAAGGACGCATACCACTAAAGACGTAAAAATTTCATCACCGTTTTACTTCCCTCAGTTTATATCGTCGTAAATATTTTCCCGCAGCGTTGCCCATCCACGAGGTTGACAATTTCCGACCAAATCCTGCCCGCACATTATTGTTGTCACGCTGTGCAAAAACACCGATATTGATGACTTTCTTTTCTCCTACCTTCTACATGCTAAAAGAGGACATTCTGATTGCTTAACGAATTTTTATACTTGTCTAAGTGCAATTTCTCAATAAACACACGCAATATACTGTTAAATGGGAGGATATTGATGATGAATATAAAAATTGAATGGCTAAAGGCGGATACTGGCGATAAAACACTAGAGACGCACATTATTTCTTCGTGAGTGCCGTCTGTTCTTACATTGATTGTTCTGTCGTGTAGGTTACCATCCAAGCAAATGAACAGCAAACTGTTGTTAATCTATGCTATAAGTTTGCGGAGGCAAAGTAGGTGATTGCTCCTCTCGAAATGCTTAAATATTATGAGTGAATTCAGAAGGCATCAGCAGTACGCCGGGATGCCGTGCCAATAATCCACTGCCGACGCGACCTGTCGCACGTAGGCTGAGGAGAATGCGAAGGCCACCCGGTCCCTACGAACGTTCGAACCGTTGCCATCTGTTAACACAGAGTGCTTGCGGTCCTCAAGTTAACGGTGCGGCATAAGTATAACACATATTTTGGGACTCTTTTTCAGCCGCCTGGCCGATGCGTCGCTTGAACGAAGCAGATTGGTGAGTAAGAAACCAAGTTGTACGTTGGAAATTATGTGTATAATTTCAGTAATCGAAGCGTTATCTCTGTGATTAAACGCTACATATGGTTAGACGCTACGCACCCCAAGCAAATGCAGAGAAATTGGGCTGTCCGGCCTAACTCACGATACCTCAAAACCAGATGTATTCAAGCGATATCGACCAGATCTCCCTATCAAAATGAAAGCACATGTTTTCACGACGTTCGACAGAAAAATATGACAGTGCTTCCCAAGCTTGCGACAATTGAACTAAGAAACCCTGACGTACAAACCGTATTGACATGGAAATGGAGAAGGTGTATGTGTTAGTTAAGAAATGAATTACATTATCATTGCATTTGTTGGTCAACGCCACAATTGCTATGTCGACTCTCTGATTACTCGCTGAACCCAGCCTGTATGAGCAATGACGGATGTGTAGAGTCCCGGAAGTTTTCCGCATCCATCAGTTTCTCCGAAACTTGTCACGCCAGCGATGTACCAGATTTTAGAATTAGGCAGTCGACAGTATAGGCCGCCACCGCTGTTGCCGTAGCATGTGTCCTGCAAGATATAATGCAGGGAATATTTCAGGTCGGTTAGTAATACGTAATGCTTTAGGTAATGCAGGACATCTGTGAATAATTATATCACGGTTAAAAGAAAAGAAAGACGTTCCACTATTTTGTACAAAGAACGGCTCTTGCTATTTTCCCATGAAATTCTGTTTGGATCCATCAATTGAATGCTTTTCTGTTGCCGTTTTATTCCCCACATTGCAGATATCTCTTTCAGTTTCTGGATCTGCCTTTCCGTGTGATGAAAGTCCATATTCTGTTAATCTTTCATTTATCTGCCCTAAGTACCGAAACACTAAATTGATACGTACAGAAGTAAAATAATCATGCGCAGTGTATAGTATTAGAGAGTACAGGAGATTTGTTGACCAATACAGCAACGTAATATGATCGTGGATAGATACATGGATAGACAGAAGGAAAAGTAAAGCAGATTGAATTCTCCCACAAACTTTTCCTGCTGTGTAAATGGGTATTAGGCGACGAGATGAAATATGGGTCCTTCCAGACTAAACCGTTTACGCTGGCATATAAGACATAAAACAGCAAGTATCATGATGATTTAAAGTCTTACGCTTCACTTCTATTGTAATGCTTCCCAGGTTCCTTTGTTAAACGAACTACAGTGATTTGAGCTCAAATGGGCATACACCGAAATTAGCAAATGCAAAATTCCAAATATATATAGCAAATAGAAAAACGAGATAATTCATGCTTAAAGCATTATTGGAGGTACCATAATTAAACAAATGTACTTCATTCCTGAATGTGAGAAAAGTTGGGTGGAATTAATTGCCTAGTTTCGAAACTGTGAGAAAATATGTGGTACGATCCACTATTTGAATGAATCGACCGGAAATGTAAACAATTAGGATATGTCAACCTAGTGCCGTCTTATCATAATACTAAAGAAAAAGTAACAAAACACGTCAGAATATGCCTAGTTGCGAAAGTTAATATAATGTTTTAATTTTCATATGAACAAATAGGCCACAATTTTCGCAGTTTCCGTACGATCAGTAACTTTTTATGTCGTCCCATGATAGTTCACTGGTTACACTTCACAGAAAGTGAACAAGGTCTCATGGAGGACGGGCTTAATACGCATCCAAAATGCCTAATTTCTAAAGGTATAATTAAGCAAATGTTCGCATGAAGAGGTATAAACATGGAATTTCAACAAATGTGTAGACTACTAGTGCGACAATTGGATATTGGCTGTGCTTTACAAACAAAATCATTTTAATCACTGCTTTTTGATATGCCTGTTTCCAAGTTGCTAAGATTCTTGCAATATAGTGTTTGCTCGTACATTGCTCACATCTACGTTTGATTGTAATCCTAAACTCATATATTTTGTTTTATTCCAACTCAATTATTTGTCAAGATATTGCAACTCTCTGTCTGCGCGTTTCTGAATATTACTAAATCGAATTTCCTCCTGAGAATAGCTGAAGGCAGCAACAAAATAATCAAGCGAAATCCCAGTGTAAACAGTTATATCAAATCCATTGCTCAAATTGATTCAACTGCACCCATGGTTATGCAAGCTTTGGATTAAACATACTTTGTCAACGGAACCTGCGCAAATGGTGGACTCCTCCTGCAGATCCTTGTTGTATTCTCGGCATTTGTTGGAACTTAATACGGTTAGGCTGTCTTCGTGCATTTCAACCACCTCCATAGTATCCTCTTTCACTTGACGCGATTCACGTCTGGATTCTGATTGTCTTGATTTAAATAATGATGATCCCTGGGTGTTATTTGATCCGGCGTCAACCTGAGAGTTTATTTCTCCCCATTCCACTGCGTAGCATTCCGTACCGGGCTTGAGAATGGTTCGCTTATTTGGCAGACAGGCATGTGTTACTTCTGGCCCTGAGGAAGAAAATGTTACATCACTTGAGCAATATTTCACCAATTTGTATAGTGAGACAGCGTGTTCATTTAAGATTCGCAGTCATGTGGAACTGGCCAAAGTGAATGTAGATATGTGCGGCATATTATAATTGTTTCAGATTGCTTAAATTATATCCGCATATATGTGACACATCTGTGGACATTTCTAAGCAGTTGGTTAATGCTAGATGGACCCAAACTTCAAGGCTAAATCCTTCTTGATGGTGGGCGACGGGTAAATACTTCAGTTATATTATAAAGCTGTGAGACTGTCATGTGGGACAAAACGGTACATCGCACTGTTTCCGTTAAAATGAATAACCATACTGATCGTGCTCTCATAATGTCGGCTTTAATCGGGAATGTAATTCCTGGAACCTGTATACAATTCAGTCACCTTCTGCACTACTTTTTCAGTTTACTTTGATTAAACGTATAACAAGTGTTGCGCAGTGTTCTGCTGTCGATATATGCACGGTATGTTAAACAATGGGTTAGATGATTCATATTGGTTATTTCGGGAATCCGGTGAGTGCTAACCATGTGCTCTTACCTACGACCACTGCGCTCAGACAGGCTTAGTCTTGTTTTCAATATTAGCCCGCTGCTAACTGGACGGCATGTGATGTCCTGTTGTTTATGGCATTAGGTTGCGTATCGGAGATTTAGTAATGCGCGAAGGCAAATAAACAGAATATGAGGATATTAGGCAGAAAAGACGGTTTGCTATATTAAAACGTCCCCGCTTTCCTGGAAGTATGGAATATTTATAACGAAGAAGAAATCAACAATGTAAGCCAAATAAGTAAAACAACTAAAACAAAGGATGGCTTTTCAGTATACTCGAAAACAGTTAGAGAACAAAATGTTCACTATTCAAAACCAAGAACTCCTGACAAAAACCAGTACTGCCTTAATCAAAATTCTTTACAAATATATTTACTATATAATAAAACCTTTTAACTTTTCATCCAAAAACTATCACACAAAATGTTTGCCCCGTTTATTCAGCAACGTATTCTACATCTGTTCACGATGACTCTTCAAATTGAAGTATTAGAAAAACATTCCGGTTTTTCTCAGAACACACTGGAATTTGTACTAAAGATAGGCACTTAATAATATCATATTCGCTGCAGCCAACTTTGCTCTTCTTGTTTACATTGGAGCTTTAAACATCTAAGTAAAGGCGACAAGATAGTTTGACAAGCGAGTGACAATTGAAACACCATATTTATCTCAGGGTACTATGTGACGCTTACGCAGTTGAACTGGCTCTGCCATGTAGAGCAATGCGATGTCAGCACCGTTGTAATTTAGCTCCGGATGAAACGAGGGATGTAAAAAGATATGCTTCACCAGATGCTTGCTTTGAGTCGTCTCTGTTTCGGTTAAGCGATGATCACCTAAATATGCGAATACCACACGGTTGACGTTTGTTTTCTGAAAATCCGATCGGTTCAATGGTTTCTGCCCTGTTTCTTCGAAGAAACAATGTGCAGCAGTTATAATCCATTGCGTAGTAATCAACGTTCCTCCACACAAAATGCTTTCATTGTATATTGTAGACGTGATGGACAAACGGACCTGTAGACAGTGCCAAATAAGGTAATAAGTCGGAAATATTTGACTCAAATACACCGATGGTTTGATGCAGTTCTAAAACCTAAAGCAAATGTGTTTCTACTAAAATTACGTAGAGCCTACAATTCCTATAGCGAAAGGGTTTCTTGCTCTACGTACCATAAATTTGTCGAACTGCAGAATTTTGAGAACCGTCTTCGTGCACACGCAAAATATGGATATATTCAAGCCGTATAAATTAATCCACCGGATACGGTTAGCACATTAATCGGATTAATTCAAGTTAGTGAACTGGAATACACCTTGTGAACAACGCTCAGCAAGACTTCTGATTTTTACAGGTTTACAAATCATCAATGGAACTCCATTCAAAAGTAGATATTCACAGATACTCCTCTGACTCTTTCATGCAAAACCGTACGTTACAACATGGCGAAACATGATCAAATATTGGCCATTGTCATCACAGTATGTGAGTTTGTATTTTACCTTCCCTAGCACCATATTTACCTTTGTGCCTGAATTAGACAACTTACCTATATGTATAAACTATAAAAATTTCTAGTCATGAATTTCTAATCAATTATTTGTATCGCTCCTTTGCCATTATGCATGCTGCGCCGATTTGATTCCACCTTTATTGGTGTACTTCGTTCTGTCGTTAAAAATTAATTTACCCATTTAAGTGCATGAAGGCTAAGACTGAAGGTATTTACTAGGCACATGAGTAATTGTCATTATTATCCATACATGAAATGTAATAAAATATATATGATCAATTCTTCGGTCACACACAAGCGTTAGATGCTGACAACCTATCCACCACTTTAGCCCTTTGAAGTGAACATAAGCGCCTAATCATTTCCCATTTTGCTAGCCTACATATTCATTTGATGTATAGGGAAGAAACTGACTTTGAAGTGAGTCCTTGTTTTGTCAGATAGTTATAAATTAAAATGTGTTTTCCGAAGGAATTCCAATATTTTACACCACATAAAGTATTTCGTACCACACTCAAAGGCGATGAATGGCAGGCCTGTTAATGGCTGCGAATCAGCAACTATACCAGTAAAACGCGAACACGATAACAAAACGGAGGTTATCTGCGATGCCCTCATCTTCTGATGATATCGTTAACACACTCGATTGGTATGGGGAGCTCAACGGCCATTGGAACAACGGAATTCTAGTCGCATTCCTTCGTCCAAAAGACATAAAATGAGTAAATAAAAAACCCACATGTAGTAACCCTGAATGGATAGATGTAACGGCGGTTTCAGCATTAAAACAAATTTGGTGGCAGACACTTAATGTAACCAAAATATATTTCATCTAACTTTAGGTTGGTCAATTTATCAATTGCACACTTCTCTCCATGATATCAAGGTGACTGTAGATGCATTTAATGTTTAGGGAATTCTTGTCTTGCAGGCGTATTCAAACATTCACAGAGCAAATGCGCCTACAACGAGGAACGTCTGGGAAACCATCTGTCTACTAACGAGGACAGCATACACAGCATTGCAGGAGCAGTAGAAGGAAGCTTATAGCTTAAAAGTTTAATGTGCTTCTGTACGGGTTAATAGATAGCCAGGAATAGTTTGGCTCTTAGGAGCGAAACTGATATGTGTGCACGAGTTAAGAGAAGCAGATAAAGTATTCTCAGTACAGCCTATTAATGAGCAACTACTTCTTTTAGATAAATATACTACGCTATTTTCCCTGACAAAACTAGTACAAAACAGGCCACTTCCGCCAATACCCGCAATCTATCCTACCTTCCAAGTATGTGCGTCTTCAACATGCTAAGAAGTAAGTGAAACACGAAAATACTCGACACCAGTTCCACATGGGAAAATTTTGCTTATGGTTGATGATTATTGAATAAGGACAACTTTACCTGTCAATTATTTTTTAGTATTGCTATATATAATATGCGCATTTGTGGCTTAAATTTGCAAAAGCGGTATCATTATGGAGCCGAACTAGAGCATACCATAAAAAATATCTAACTGAGGACAATCTAAGTCTAATGATACACATGTGTAAATCATTCTGCCATGAGGGCTGATTTAATGTGAACAAGCTTTTGGCGACCTTACTAGATTTATTGCTAAATACATCAAGTACGTCATTTGTTACTGACGCACCTAGCTCGCGGATGCTAAAGTGTACATACCGTATAAACCAGGGCATGAAATAAATGGGTTGTAACATCCACAGTATATATTCTAACAGTTTAATCCCTCAAACGTCCGGTGCTTCCGTGCTGCTTATCTTCTTCTAAAAGTTGATTTAGAGTCAAATAAGAAAACCAGACTTCTAGGTATATTAGTTCGAAAGTGAAAAGAACACCGAAAATATAAACAAGAATACAGAAAATACTTTTATATTTGATAAAGTATAACCAAAATAATCTTCGCAATTTGATTTTACTCATGATCTTATATACAGAGATCACATCTTTTGTTAAAATGCTCTACTCAAGGAGTGTGGTTCCTTAGGCCATTGGTCAGCCACGATGTACCTGCCAAATTTGTTCGGTTTTTGGATACTGATTATGAATCTTTATACCCTATGTGCGTCAAGGGATGTATCACTCGCTTTTTATGGATACAAAGAAATACTTTGCAATAGACAGAACCATCGGTTGCTTAATGAATATCAATATTTTTCTATACTATTCAAACAACAGCTGCTTTGCCATACGTGATACGGTCAACAGTATGGACACGACTGCTCCAAGAAATCTTAAACTCTATTCCTGTAAGCGAATGGTACTGAGTGAACGAAGCAGTGAACTTTACATAGGATATGTTTCCAAAACATTTCATACGTTGAAAGGGTTTGAAATTCTGTTTTGGCAAATAATTTACCTTTGTGGAAGTTTAGCTTTGTTATCATAACTAGCAATAACATCTAAGCCGTGCACCACGAAAAATATTACTCAGGACGTTCGTAAGCAGACTAACTCACCGACCACGGCCATGCGTTTAGTTTACTGATTGCACCGCCAACAATTTTTGTAGCGACCCCGCCGTCATCCGGTGAAACGCCACAACCTGGCAACCCTACCACATATGAAGAGGGAACAATATTTCAGTGACTTAGCTGCATACGTTGCAATTAATGGGCCACAAGTACACCAGGTTTAAGGAGCTTAGTTGCCAATCGCCTGATTTTGCATAGTTTTGACATGACCGGTATGGTAATATTACGAACCTATTAGCTGCAAAAAACTTGAAGGAAAATCAATAATGATATACACACGCAAGATAGCCCAACGGCACGTAACTAATGTATTATTTCATAAATAACTGCACTGAGAAATCGAGACTCGATTGGCTGTGCCACTGCCCATCAAAGGATATATTTTTGACCTATCGTGCGTATAATGCTTACCAGGTACTGGGCTCGCCTTCTTGTTTCGACATTCACGCACCTCCATGAATACTTTGCTCTTGCAGTATGAGTTGTCGGATTTATTCATGTTGGTTTCCATCCAGGAATCATCCACACACTCCCGATAACGATACTGCGTGCATCTGCGTCCTCTGTACCGAGACCACTTAGACCATTTACCATAGCGATCCACATTGACAAGCAAAGTATGTAACGGTAAACGTGAAACGCCTCCAGCTAAATTCTCGGCGGCCCTTCTCTGCCATGTTTGTAGAATGCCCATGAGGACAGAAGATGAAAGAACCAATATTGGTCGGCGTTAACTACCGATGGAAACGGGGCGATCTCTCAAGCTACTCTACTACGTACACATGTGTTTAATACACTTGAATTAACGAACATAAGTAATCAAACTACAGCGCTGTTGTGAACAAAATCATGTGCATTAGAGAATACGAAGAAAGAGTTGTCTATGTACTTAGGGTATAATTATCTATATGGAGGATTAATATTCTTCAAATCCCTCCCTTCGTTCACTAGCCTACTGAATTGCAACAACCTACTTTGTCAATTTCAGTGGACCATGGTATTGCCCTAGAAGTAATGCTTGCCGCACTGCTCTCTTGCATTTCTAATTCTTTAATTCATGGGGGGAAAATGATCATAAATTTATCGTATTGTGTATCACTTCTGACCCACTTAATCAGGTTTACTAATTAAATAATATGTGTAGGTTACATTACCTTGTAAAAATGATACTGTCTTTTGCCTTTTCTTGTACATACATATTGTTAATGAAAGCTTACAATCTTTACAGCTGACCTCACTTTGTAACAATCTTGGTGACTAGGCGAACTGTCACTGGAAGTCGAGTGATCACTCAAAAATATCAAAGCCTAAATTCATGGAGGCAGTGCATGAGTATTGCAGTTGCAACGCGAAAAATTAAGGAGTTAATTGATGAAATCCCTAAGATTATTGGCCTCCTCTAATTTTTCCGGCGATTGGTGCATAGAGCTTTCCCCAACATTGCTGATAACCATGAAGGTATGGAGCTGATGAAAAGGTTTTACATTTGCAATTCGTGTGCTGGCAGACAACGGAAGTCACAGCATACATAAAGATACAGAGAAAGCTAAATACGTTGCATAATTTCTGTCTGTTTTTGGACTTTGTGTTTACATGAAAAAGCTATCCTTGCCTGTGAATGGGTGCAACTGACGTTTTCCATCCTCGTCGTATTGTTTGACCATACTGATGTTTGACGGAATGATTTTGGTCCACTCTGGCGGTCATTATTTTGAACAGTAACAATTTTTGAGTAGACACAGCAGAGCATGCAAGTGCCAAATGCTAACCGTATGACTGTGTGCATGTTTCGATTCATGCTAAAGGAGTATTGCCAACTGCCAATTAGTTACCTCAAGCTTATATATCACTCAGCTTACAACTAGTCTTAATCATTCGAGTTAATACTAGCACACCCCAAGTACGTGTAAGCTTGGCTAATAACTCAAAAAATCCTGTGTGCAGGAAGGTCGAAATTTGTCAGCAGTTGTAAATTCCTTTATAAAAGTAACCGTTTTTAGTAGATTGACCGGAATGGTCTGATAAAGCAACCATAACCTCAAAACAAATAATTGCAAATTCACATTGCCTTATCTATCCTTCTAATGTTTCGTGCCGTTCGTTTGTTGGTGATGTGATTTCGAAGTAGCGCATATCTAAGCAGTCTGGGTTTTCATGAATACAATTTGGTCTTCAAAAGTTGTGTCAGCTGAAATGAAATGGCCGTGAGCAAAATAATGTCTCTTTGTTCACTTTGTCTCATTAACTCGATTTGCCAGGAATTTACTAGACTTACTTCGTATAGATACCTTTTTTACCAGTCAAATGGAATAACCCAAAAATATTACGAAAAATTACTGTAAAAACCTTTAATCCACAACTTTACTATCCAGGATACACGCAGCGTTATTGTCGCCGTTTTTAGAAATCTTAATCGGTATGATAGCCGTAAGCAAGCCACACAGATAAGATATCGCAAAAAAGACACCATGTTGCTTTGGCCCATCTCGTTACGTGCTTTGCGAATTTGTATATGGCTGTCAAATTTATGCAGTCAATAATATCTTATTTTAATCAAAGTTTCAATTGTTTTAACAAACGTAAGCTCAATTCAGTTCTAACTAGTATGTCATTGTTTAAACTTATGAGCAAAATTTGCAAGATTACAAGTTTAATTGTTTTCCTACATTCTGCTAAATGTGTGGAAAATGATGGCAATATAAAACGATGGTACTAAGTAACCGCCGGAACGCAAAGTGATAAACATTGAACTAAGCAAAATATCAAAGTCTGATAAAAATTTTCGAATACTACCAAATTGCCGTGGGCAGCTGTCGCCCATTGATCAATGGCATAAATCGCTGAATCGCAAGGGTAAATTCGTGCATTCGGATCCGGCAAGATTCCGCACAAGTACGCCACTGACAATTCCCGATAGGACCAAACAGCCGTCTAGGTTTTCCCTGTCTGTCTATAACAAACTGCGGCAGTTTCCCTTTGATATTTGCGTTTATGCCGTCCCATTAAAGTGTGAAGTAACCGGAACTTATCAGATGGGTATCTAAATTATGTTCCAATAAAAACCGAAAATGTGGCCGCTATCGCTTTAGCAGCTAAAGCGAACGCAGTACTTGGAGACGTAATGTTGACTATATTACCAATCTCTTTGCATTCAGTGCAGCTCGTAGTTATGCCGCGCTCTTCGTTGCCGAGTAGATGTCACCTAGTTTGCAACATTATGCTACACACGAAATGACCAGATATACTACCTCTATATAAACGCCGATACATTAAGTTGGCAGTCGTCTTATTACAAAAATGATGTCAATATTTAACTAACACACGAAGATCACTTTTACTATAAGCATGCATTATTTTGCCGTTGACTCATAAAGGTAACCGGATAACCAAAATTTGGACTTCGTGAATAAAGCAGTGCACTTAAAGAAAACACGGTTGGTCATCCTTCCATTTTAGCTTTCTGAGTTTACCTAAGCACCAATGCCATGTGTGCGGAATCCTTAATAGAGTAATTGCGCATCACGACACATGTTGCCATCTACGTTCATGTCATCAGAAGTCAAATTAATATATACTCCATGGCTATGGAAAACGATGTCGCTTTTGGTACTTGAATTAGTTATACAATCCACTAATAACAAAGCATGTGGCTGAAACAAGGCGGTATGTTAGCGCCTGTGTCTTCTCAATTCGGTGAAACATCACTATTTCAACCTGCTTCTAAATTCACCAAAATTAGCCAGACTTACTGCAACATCATTAGTCCGAGTTTTCCATCAACCCTGCAACCACCTCCAACCCCGACAATAAAAACACTGCCAGCGCTATGTCTACGGATGCAAGCCGCAGTGATCCTGTACACCTACTAAACTATGATTTTTTAAAGTTGCCCTGGATTTACACTGTCAAGGTGTTTCTCAGCGACGCTCGACTATTGAACAATAAAATACACTTTGGGTCTTCGAGAAATTCTATCAAAGCCTCATTTACTAGTCAACACGGAACAATGTCATGGCCATACTCTCTTGATGAGTTCATCATAATCGAACAGCGGAACATTGTTAAGAAGGTCAGGTGCATTATTTGTCCTCGGGTCCAGGTCAGTATTCAATTAATTTTACGTTTGTAACCCAGTATAAGCAATTGATTCGTATACTTACAAGTAGCGGTGAATTTCTTAATAATTTTTAAGATATAATTACATTCCAACCTCGTGATGAGCTAATACTAGAACACCGACTTTGGGTTCGATTATACTTGTGATTTGTCCTTCAGTCAACAGATAATGATAGGTGATTTTAATGTACCAGATATATATGTGTAGTGCATGCAGTACAAATAATGCTTTTGAAACCGTCTTCTGCAGTCCAAATGCAATAATGAACACACGTATTCCCTAAATACACCAGAAAAATGCACATACAGATTTGACTTTACTAGAGAAATACACTTAAACTGTGTCGATGTGCTATCTTGTTGCCAAGATACTGATCACAGATTCGTTGTAAGCAAAAAATGTTGCTTTCTACACACTGATGAATCACCTCGGATGATTATGAAGCATCTGCAACAAAACTGTTCAGCCCAACGAAGCTAACAAAACCTTAACAGACAACCTGAGCCACAGGTATCCCGATGTATTGAACACAGAATCGTGTCACCTGTATCGTATCATCTGATATTGCCCTACACTGCTACACTGAACCCCTATCAGCTCCCTGTAGATATTTAAGGAATTTTAAAAGAGGTGTTCAAGTTCAAGTGGGACTGGAACGATAGGATGAATCCCGTAAGTGTTCCTTATTGAGCGTGTGGTTGATCCAGGATTTGATAAGGGTGCTCCGACTTCCTGATGGATCTAAAACGAAAACACCAGAAAAAGCACCCAGATCCACCAATTAAATGCCCACCTACTTTAGATTATCTGTCCCTTCTATGCCATTTACCTAAAGTGAGTAATAGTGGAAGAAAAATCGAAGGTAAATAGTAAGCCAAATCAGTTGAATAAAGAGAATATTACAAAAGGTGTGGGAAAGTGCAGAAAATAGAATAGTAGTTTGAAGCTGGGAATTAGTTTGGATAAAGAAAACGTTTCTTGTTGCCACCCAAGAGCATTTACCTGACGCTCAAATTCCTTAATCATAGCTTCATGGAAAACATTTTCTGGAAGAAATTTTAAACTCTCAATGGCTCGACGCGATAAGTGTGTCTCCGTACTAAATCCATCGGACCGCGGTTTGTCCAACTAAATAAAACGCCCGCGAATACCAGATAATCTAGGAGGACTAAGTAGCCAAGACAAATCAGGGACAACCATCGCAGTGAAATACGGTAGGTTAGAAATAGGTCCCTTCTAATACTTCAACAGTTGGTTTTACTATATTTATTGCAAAAAGACTTGGTTTCTGTGCTTTCTTAAGGGAGAGCCGCAGTTTGTAGCCGACGAAAACCACGTAAATATCCGACTCCCTCTTGTTATGTTTGTAAGCAAACTTCTCGCGGAGCTTGCATTCTGATAGCTTGAAAACGCTACTCTCAATAATAAGACAGATTTGCAAGTTCTCCTTGCTTATCCCGTAGCAAAATCTATTGGTCTTGTTTCAATCGCATCCTGCCACATGGATTATAACAGCAAACGCCAACGTAGGACATTAGCTATATAGCTGAATC